GTGCGGGGGGGGGGGGGGGAGATCGCCGGAAGGCTGGATGGACGCCTGGCCGAGGTCCGGGGTGGTGGATTGTCCTGAAGGGCCGGGAGCGCCCGTGATCGTGGGAAGGCGGCACCCGTTTTGCCTGCCTGCCTTTATTGAGGTGGGCAAGGCTGCAGGGGATGCGCTGCCCAGTTAGTCTGCCCAGCGGATGATTGATGCCTGGGAAAAGAGGATGACCGCCTCAGGGAAAGAAGAAAGTAATCTTGGGGAATGGCAGCGGGGGAGAGATCCTGGCTTGGGTCTGGCCGTGTGCCTCTGATATTTCTTCCCCTGAGCGATAAAGAGATCCTACAGAGGCATTCCTGTTTTTTTCCTCTTTGCCACACCCCTTCTTACGCAAAATCTGGTGTGCTTCACCCTGGCCCAGCTGTCTGCGCCAAGTTGGGAGGGGGGGGTAGCACTTGGCTACCTTTGAGAGAAAATAGTTTCAGCTTCCTCAGCAGCCGATGCTTAACCCCATCAGAGCGCCAGGAGACATGCAAGCAGCAGTCGGAGAATGTCAGGGCCCTGGCTGGATTCTGTGAGTCATGCAGGAGGGCCCAGCTGGAACTGACACAGTTCTTGCTGTAAAAATTGCTTGCTGGAAAGTAGGTGGATACCTATGGCTAAAATTTATATTACAGTATTTGAAGATAACTGATTTAGGCTTATGATTGGCCTTACCCTTTTAATCTAAATATGGCCTATTTACTGTATTAATTTTTAAACCAATACTTAATAGCAACCCATTGACTAACCTGTAAGGCTTGAATTAAATAGTAGATGTGGCTGGTGGTGGTGCTGAAAGCATCATACAAGTGATGCTCTACAGCAGCCATTCTACAAACCTTTTCTTAAAAAAAAATAAGGCCATAAACACAATATGAAAGAATTCTAGGCTGAATCAGTATTGTATAAGTCATGTAACAAACCTTATAAGTTGGTGTGTGAAGAATTGTTTCCAGTCTGTGGCCCCCTTCAAATGTGCCAGGGCTCCCCAGGGGCCCATATGGACCCTGTTGAGAATGGCTGCTCTATAGCAGTAGTTCCCAACCTCTTTTTGAGTTGTGACCCACTTTTATACTAGCTAAGTGACCTGCAAACGGCCCAGGAAGATTTTACTTCTAAGAAATCAGGTTTTTACAGGCAGTGAGAAGACTAGCTTACCCACCATAGTTTGGCCACCATAGGAATTCAGGCTATTGGGACAACCTGGATTTGGAAGATCACTGACAACAGAGAAAGCTTTCCAGTGTGACTGGGATTGCTGCTTCATTAGCAGAGCTTAAGAATAAGACTCTAAAGAGGTTTTATAGCTGTTGCAAAGATAACAGTATTTTTTAAAAGATACCTTTAATAGAGATGTTTAATATTCTGTTTGATTTTTTGGTGGAATTACTATTTTTCAGTGTTTTCCATTGGTTGTGAAGAAATAATATCAAAATAAAGGCCAGTTACCAGGAAAAACTCTTTAAGGCCATGTTTAGCAGCTTCACCATGGGAAATGTTAAAAAAAATACTAAAACCCCTTGTATGTGTTATACTGTTGCCAGTCTCGGTTCTTCTCATCTCCATTCCTTCATATTGACTCTCCGCAAGTTAATAAGAATTTCAGACTTGTAGTTTGTCCGCCAAGGAATTCTCTGTTCAGGCACAGTTAGTAATTGTTACAACTTTCTACTCCTTGATAATAAACACAAATGTGCAATGTCATCTTGCACAAATACATTTCAGTTGTGTTCTTGAGACTGTGTCTTGTAGATCTTTTTCTCTACTTCTTATCTCCCATGGCGGATTTTGGCACAGCCTTCTGTTTGTCCAGTTGTACCATGGGAGAAGTTGCAGAGGCAGTGCTGACTCACAGGCAATGCTGGCACAGAAAGTGATTGTTCTTATATTGCCCTCACTTTCTTGTCACCAGCAGTGCTGGCCACGTCCCTAGAATCTCTGCGTTTGCCACTTGTCCTACATTGTTGGGACTGGGGAGGATAGTGGGCTAGATGCCCTGCAGGCAGGAGTCTTCAGGCAGGCTTTCAGACATAGAGCCCAAGGTAGCTGCTGGTTAATGTCATCACATAATTTTGCTTTTCAGTTGGCAAGCTGTGTGAGAATGTGTGTTGTTACTCACTTGGCATGACGGTGGGATTGGGACATGTGCAGGCTACTCTTAGGATAATGACTCAGAAATTAATCCCACTGCTTTCAATAATGAGTAGGGTTGTAGCCTTAAATCTGTAATACGCTGTCACCAGCAGTGCACAGAATTAGTGCACTTGATTGCTGTGCCTTCATTCTGTAAGTGCAGGTTCTTGATTTACTCTTTCTGCCCTCCCTTTTTTTGGCTGCTAGGCTTTTCCTCATTGCCTGGTTGCTTGCCAGGGCTATATTTAAACACCTTCAGAGCAACTGCATATATATATTATCTAGCTGGCAATTATGGTTTTAGTGCATGGCGTATGTTTATGCATTTTTAGTACTTAAGTTTCTGTCTTGTCAGATTGCATCTTAGCTGAAGTGTGTTAAGCTGTTGTATATTTCACTTGACTTACCACAATGGGAGGGAGGACTAAAGTTTTTGTTCTTTTATATTTACAGTTTGTTACATCTAAAGATCATCTTGGCAGTGTAACTGAACATCAAGCAAAATGAATGGCTTTAGTAGTGAAGAATTCAATTTTACTTTCCTTGACGAAGGCTTTACTGCAAAGGACATTGTAGATCAAAAAATAAATGAAGTTTCTTCTTCGGTATGTTGTGAACTTGCCAAAAAAAAGGGGGGGGAAGTAAATTTATGCTTATTGGTGCCCCAAAGTACAATTATAGCCAGCCATATATTGTCTGATGAATATTTTCTTTGTCCTCAGGATGATAAAGATGCATTCTATATTGCTGACCTTGGAGATGTTCTGAAGAAGCATCTGCGGTGGTACAAAGCCCTCCCTAGAGTGTCTCCTTTTTATGCTGTTAAATGTAATGACAGCATAGCTGTAGTGAAGATTCTTGCTGCACTTGGAGCAGGATTTGATTGTGCCAGCAAAGTAAGTAGCTTCCTTTGAATGCTCGGTTAAGCACTGTGGATTATAAATCTAAATAGTAACCATGTGTTTGTCTTTTGGGCAAAGTGTTTGAAGTGAATAGTATACAGACTAATGGACGGTTGTTTTCCAGACTGAAATACAGCTGGTCCAGAGTGTTGGTGTGCCTCCTGAGCGTATAATATATGCAAATCCTTGCAAGCAAGTTTCTCAGATAAAGCATGCTGCAAATAATGGTGTGCAGATGATGACTTTTGATAGTGAAGTGGAGCTGATGAAAGTTGCAAGAGCCCATCCAAAAGCAAAGTAAGAAATGTTTGTAATAAAACAGTTTTTCTGTTTCTGAGCATACAAGGGGCCTAGAGGAACTTTGCTGCTTGTTTGAGAATGTGTTAAAATATTCATTGTGGGGGGAGGTGGGAAATGGCATTGTATTATTGACACAAGCCAGGCAAATTGGTATATTTAAAAATCCACCCAGATTACCTTGAAACAGTTTAAAAATACGTTTAAATCTAAAATTGTTTTGTTTAATGTAAAGGACATAGTAAATCAAATTGTTTTGTGAAATGATGTGTCAGAGTGCCTAAGCTTGAAGGTGTTCTCAGGATGGTTTCCAAAATGTTTTCTAGGCTGGTTTTGCGCATTGCAACAGATGACTCGAAGGCAGTTTGTCGCCTGAGTGTTAAATTTGGTGCCACACTAAAAACTAGCAGGTTGTTGCTTGAGCGAGCAAAAGAACTTGATCTTGACATCATTGGAGTCAGGTAAGTAGTAAAGTTGTGTTGAAGAAATATAGGCAAATGTGCTGTCTGTTTATTTGCCAAAAGTTGACAAAGCTCCTACTAAACTCAAGCCATTTTTTCTAGTTTCCATGTTGGAAGTGGCTGTACAGATCCTGATACCTTTGTGCAAGCTATTTCTGATGCCCGTTGTGTCTTTGATATGGGAGTAAGTATATCTTAAACATACTTCTTTTTATAATCCTAACTAGATTGCTAAAATTGTTCTTTAATTCCTTAGTTCTGCAGTCCAAAATGTTAAGTGTCACTTGTAATGATTCATTCATTGTAAAGCAGGTAAATTAGACTGCTAGCTCTGGATGCTTTGAATAATAGCTTAATTACATACATCATTTTACCATTCATTCATAGGTCTCCAAAAACCATTGGTGTATAGAAAAACTGACTAGTACCACTAATGTGTTACTAATGAATTTATGGTTTTGCATTTTAGGCTGAACTTGGTTTCAACATGAACCTGCTTGATATTGGTGGTGGTTTTCCTGGCTCTGAAGATGCAAAATTGAAGTTTGAAGAGGTATGGATTTAACATTTGCATTTTAACCTTACTTAATTTGTACATGATATTTTAGTACTTGTAGCTGACAGGCAGGGAGTGGCTTTCAGCAGTTCTATTACACTGTCAAGGATGTTGGCGTAAGTCTCATAAGTTCCTAGTGAGAATATCTTTAATGAGCTCATTCAGTTAATGGGTTCATGCATAAACGGTAGTAGCTCTTGAAGGAAATAAAATTTCTAGTCTTATAAACGCAAACTTAGTTTTGACTTGAGATATGCTTGAAAAAAAGGAACAATCTAATTTCCAAGTTGAAAATTTTTGTGCAAGAAAATCAAGTACTTGGTGACAACTATGGTAGAAATATGTCCAGAGGTATTGTACAGTGTGTTTTTAACGCTAATATTGCAGTGTCCCCACTGTTCAACTTGAGAAAACTGCTCAGAAGAGTTAAACAGTTGGTTTTGCTTGCAAAATCCCAAACTTGAGCCTTAGACAGCCCCATCAGGTAGCTGAGCTGTTCTTAAGCACTAGCATAACATTAGCTGCCATGAACATGGGAAGCTTTCAGTTTTTCCTGTATTTGGGTTCATTTCTGCAGTCCCCTGTGGAATAATTGGCATCACTGAAACTGTTGCACCAGATGTTCTTATGTGGCCAAAATTAGGGTTCCAGATTAATGCATCTGGACAAACACTCGGAAGGTACTGAGCTGAAGCTTTCCAAACTGTGTTTGGTTTGAAACCCTCTTCTGCCTGGCATGTATTTACCAATTTCCAGAGTTCCCAGTCTCTTGTAATAGGAGTCAGAGGAAAGTATTTTTCTTGGAGGAAATTGGTTGAGGAAACGCAGATACAGTGGATATAAAAAGTTTACACACCCACGTTAAAATGTCAAGTATTGGGGAATGTAACAAAAATGAGACAAACACAAATCATTTCAAAACTTTTTCCTCCTTTAATGAGGAGCCCAGACCTGAATCCGATTGAATATCTGTGTGTGATCTGAAGAGGGCTGTGCACAGGAGACACCCTTGCAATCTTGACAGATTTGGAGCGTTTTTGCAAAGAAGAGTGGGCAAATATTGCCAAGTCAGGATGTGCCGTACTGATAGTATTAGTTTAAGGGTGTGCACTCAGATGCAACTATATTATTTCAGTTTTTTTATTTTTACTTCCCTCCACTTAAAAGATTTCAGTTTGTTGTTCAACTGAGTTGTACAGTTCATAGGTCTCATTAAAGGAGGAAAAAGTTCTGAAATGATTTATCTTTGTCTTGTTTTTTTACATCACAGACACTTGACATTCTAACGGGTGTGTAAACTTTTATGTGCACTGTACATGATTGGATGACTTAAAGGATTTTTTTTTTGTTGCAGCTCTAGTGTGTCATATTTATGTTGCTCAATGATTGTCTCTCTTCTCATTTTTTAAAAAGATAACAAACGTAATCAATCCTGCTTTGGACAAGTATTTCCCCTCTGATTCTGGAGTGAGAATTATTGCGGAGCCTGGCAGATACTATGTTGCATCAGCTTTTACGTTGGCTGTTAACATAATTGCAAAGAAAGTTGTAATAAAAGAGCAGAGTGGATCTGATGGTAAGTAGCAAATTGTAGTCTAAAACTTTGTAGCAGCAAAACTGCTGATAATTGATGTGTTGGAGGGACAGTGTTGAGGTTTCATGGTTCTTAGGGCACTGGCAGATACAATAGATTATGAATGTTTGAGCATACACTGTATTCTTCTGCAAGATTTCTGTGCAGTGAGAATGATGGAGGGCAGTTACTGAAAAGCAGCTTGTGTATTTTCCTGAGTTAAAGTTAAGTTCATGGAAACTTCAGCCATGAAAAATCATAGCCACAATGGTTGGGGGCCATGATAAAATGTTGGGACATACTACTAGTCTAGGAGTTATTCTGTTGCTTTCTGCTTCATGAGGAAAACATACAATTTAAAAGTGCAACTAATTGGCAAGCAAGTCACTGAATAGAGTGTGAGACTTTTGTGTGTAGTTGAGTGCTTGGTTTGGCCAGAGAGGAGGGGCCTTTTTGTGGACCCAGAACAGTGGATTAAATTGCAAAGTTTTTGTAAACTTTCCTAGGACCCCCTGCCAACCTGCAACAGGATTTAACAGTTAGCAGCATGCAGGGCTGTATACTACTGTTAGCTCACCTCACAGTTTGGGAATAAAAGAAATCTGTGGTCACTGTGAGCCTCTTACAGCTTCAGGTCACTCTGCAGTAGGGGAGTCTGTCACTTTTGGACCCTGTGACGGGGCTGTATGCTATTCAAAGTCTGACCTGTTTTGCCTAGAATTCCCTTTTTGTTTTCATACGCCCTAATAAGCAATCTGAGTAAGATTTAAGAATATTCTGACATCAGTGCATCCTTTAGTTAAACATGTCAAGATGATTTCTTTTGGTGTTTCGGAGTCTGATCTTATTTTTCTCCCACCTCTGGCTCCTTCTAATCTGCAATATGGAGGCAGTGAACTGCATTTAAATATCACACTAAATAAAAACAGGCTCAGAAATAGCAAGAACTTTTCACTCTGCTGCTTGTATACTTGGTGTGCGTGTGTGGCATGTGGAAACACAGATGTTTTCTAGTTAGATGAACCCTTTGGATTTCTCCACTTACTTCAGAGGGCCACTTGTGACTTTCATTTCTGGGGACATTGCTTAGCTTCTGTGTGAACAAAGAAGTGACTTATCTGGATGAAGGCTGTTTCCATCCATGCCAGTCTGCTTCTTCAGTCAGGCCAAGTGGTTAGGTTTTTCCTTGATACTCAACATTAAGTTACTGGGCTTTATGATATGGAGGGTTTTTCTGCAGATGTTGGTGTTTTGTGACTGCTGGGCTTATCCTAATCTGCCGATACCTCTGTTATAGTAGGTGGTGTGGTTTTGGCTAAAAAAATGTGATTGGCTACATAAGATAATTGAGGTTTAGAGTCCTGGTCTTGATACAGGGCAGAAACAAGAACATTACCTTCTATGTATGAATAAAACTAACAAATCAATATCCCAATATTCTTTTTTTTCTCCCAATAGATGAAGAAGAACAGAATGACAAAACTCTTATGTACTATGTAAATGATGGTGTATATGGGTCTTTTAACTGCATCCTGTATGATCATGCGCACGTCAAGCCAGTTTTGCAAAAGGTATGCTTCTGTTTGTAGCCATTTTATATAATGTACACACACAAATGAGTTAAACTGAAGCTTGTTTGTATTCTAGGCAACTGTTCCTGGACATTTAGCTTATGCCAGATAGTAAGGGAAGGAGGGCATGATTCTTGTACTGACTGTTTTCACTTTAAACTATTTTCAGAGACCTAAGCCGGATGAGAGATACTATTCCTGCAGCATATGGGGACCAACCTGTGATGGCCTAGATCGCATAGTTGAACGCTGCAGCATGCCAGAGTTGCAGGTTGGGGATTGGATGTTGTTTGAAAACATGGGTGCCTACACTGTGGCAGCTGCTTCTACATTCAATGGATTTCAGAGGCCGACAATACACTACGTAATGTCAAGGCCAGCATGGTTAGTAATTCATTGTCCTTTTCACTACTCACATGGCTTGAAAGAAATTGCTAAGTTTGATATGATCTATATTTTTTTCCCTTGAGAAATGTCTTAAATCAGTTGCTTTGGAAGAGCACACCGTTAGATCTCTGCTCCTGACAACCCAGCATCTGAGCTCTCTTCTGGTGACAGCAGCTTGTGCAAATATGCTAGGATCCGTTGATGCCACATGTACCCCATTTGCAGTTTGACAGTTCAGTGGTGCACTACTAGCACTTCTTCAAAGAGATTTGTTTTCTCCCTAGGACTTTGTGTTGCAGGTGCCTTTAAGTACAGAAACTTGCGCAGTGCAGAATCTAGATTTGGCATGACTTAAAAAGTATCAAGTGCATGAACAATGCACGCTAAAGTCTGAACGTTACAAATAAGGCTTATAGTGACTAGATGTGTTCTGGTGATTGCTCCTCTGGTTAGGGAGAGCAGAGCAATTTGTGCATTCTTGATTTTTTGATGCAGAATCTGAAAAGGGAAAGATCAGCCTAGGAGTGTTCTCAGCCATGTCCTGTATCCTCCTTTCTCCAGCTTTGAAACTACGGTATCATGGAAAATTTCATCTGTAACACTGACTTGTTTTTCCCCTTTATTAGGCAGTTGATGGAGCAGATAAAGGAGCAAGGTTTCCAAGCCGAAGTGGAAGAGCAGGATGTCACTTTGCCGCTGTCTTGTGCCTGGGAAAGTGGAATTGAACACTATCCAGCATCTTGTGCTTCAGCTAGCATTAACGTATAGATATGGAGTTAGATAACTTGCAGACATTAGGAATGGATTTTTTTTTTAGGGCTCTGGGGACCATTAACTTAATTGTTGCTAGAATTTTTAAACATTTCAAGAAACTAGAGTGTGTGTAAAAGTAACGGAATAGTCAGTTAGACAAGGGGGTCACATTTATCTATGTTCGTTCCTATGGAAACTATTTGAATATTGTTTTATATGGATTTTTATTCACTTTTCAAGCAAACTGATCCTTGACTGTCAAGCAAGCATTTGTAGCTTGTTTATTTGGCAGGATGGTCTGGATGTAGTATTGTGACCTGATTGTTTTGCAATAAAGTATATTGAAATAAATGGGTAGCTGGTTTTCTTTGCTGTATGTCAGCCAGAAAGCTGGGTCGGACAACATTCTAAGAACCTGGTTGTCACTTCCTCTGAACTGAACCTAGTTATGTACCTTGAATATTTCCATATGATGTGTGTCTTCTCATGAGCCAGGTTTGTTCCCCTTGTGTTGACTTTCCGTGTCTGATGCTTGCGTTGTGGCTTCAGCATTTTTGCCACAATATAGTAAGAAAAGAAAGATTCAGGGACTCCCGGAGCAAGGTTTGCATGTTGAAATTACAAAAGCCTGTGTTAACACTTCTCAGAATATGCCAAGGATTTCCAGTGCTTGGCTATCTAAACTTAAATGCAGACTTGCTTCAGACATGATAGAAATGTAAGTGTTGGGCATGCAGCACTTCTGTACATGGTCCAGGCATGTAATCTTACATGGATTAATTTTGGTTTGCTTTTGTTGAACAATAAAAGACGGTCTCTGCAAACCATTGGTGTGGATAGTGGCCAGTATGTCATGTCTAACTAATGTCGGACTTCAGAAACTGGCAAGGTGTTTTTTCCAGGGTTGGAAAGCTTTTTTTTGTTTGTTTGTTTTTTAATTTTTTAGATATTGAATACTTGAATCAAATCATATGCACATGTGGCTGTTTTGGGCAGATCCTTTTCTGGACATATTGCACATGACATGAACTACTACAGCCACTTAGGATTGATTTGTGAGCCATCTGGGTTTCTAACACATTCAGTTTGCGGATCATCTGTGGTGCTTTTGGATTGTATTTACCTTTGAGTTAATACAATTATTGAGGAAAACTTGATTTGAACAGACATTATCAGCATGGTCACTACTTATGAAATTATAAATTTTATCAACAGGAAATGTGTAATTTATAGGCACAGTCACCTGGTAGAAACTAGTGAATTGTTAATTGTCTTGTATCTCATGCTGGAAGGAGGAAGTGTTTTTAAACCTGAAGACTCTAATAGTAAATCCTTAGGGTGGAACTAACTTAGGAAAATTTTCTGTAAAATTGCTGGAGTTGCAAAAGTCTTTCAAATTAAATCCAATAGTTGTTGTAATAGAAAGCCCCTACAGCAGAACAGCATAAAAATTACGCATTTAAAGAACTTGATTTTTTTTTCTGCAGAGAAGTTTACTTTGCATAATACTGTACTTATTTTAGAGATTTGTGCCTGGTTTATTCAATAATTCCAGAAATGCTTCATTATTTAAGTATGGGCTAGCATGTTCAGCTGTGAAGTACGAGACTTACCTAAAATGTTGTTTTAGCATCTAATTGTCAAGCTACTTGTATTAGTATAATTGAAACAAGTAAGAAGGCTTCTTGGTGGTTTGAAGGTGCTTAGTTCAGTGACAGTTATCTGCAAAGGCAGTTTCCAAGTTCAAAATTATTCCTCTTGAAATCAGTTTAATTTATTCTACACACTGTTGGAAATGCTAAAGGAGACTCAGGCTGCAATCCTACATACACCTGAAAGTGCCATTGAATGTCATGTGATTCCCAAGACAGGATTGTGCACTTGCAAGGCTGTAGAGAGAAAAGATGCTTCGCAAAGTCAGTGTAAATAAGATTACAGTGGTGCCTCGCAAGACGAGTGCTCCGTTTGACGACGAAATTGCATTACGACGAAGTTTTTGCGATCGCAAAACGATGTTTCCTATGGGGGAATTTCGCTTTGCAATGATCGGTTCCCTGCTTCGGGAACCGATTCTCGCAAAACGACAATTTTCCTACAGCTGATCGGCGGTTTCAAAATGGCCGCCAGGTTAAAAAAATGGCCGCCTGCTCTTTTCTGGGACGGATTCCTCGCTGCACGGGCAGCGAAAATGGCTGCGCTATGGAGGATCTTTGCTGGCCGGTGAGTTTCAGGCCCATAGGAACACATTAATCGGGTTTTAATGTGTTTCTATGGGCTTTTTAATTTTGCTTTACAATGTTTTCGTTCTACAGCGATTTTGCTGGAACGAATTAACATCGTAATGCGAGACACCACTGTACCTAGTTTGCCTTGACTGCAGTTTCTATAACTATGGCATCAAGCTTTTCTTGCATATTTTACCTCTCAAAACTCTGAAAAATGTGTTAATAAGTTATCAGTGATATAAACAAGAGAAAGGGATCCAAGAATGAACCTTGATGGAAGAGGATTTTGATTACTTTGGACCACATTAATGCTATTGATGCATTGAGGTTTATAACTCACCTGTTCCTCTGATGCTTCAAATGCTCTCTAACATGCATAAAGCAAACTTCAGACAGCATGTTTCATGAAAACCCAAGATGATCACTGGTATATCGTTAGTGGAAAATTTTTAAAAAAATTCAGTTAAAAGACAGCCCTTGTCCTTTGGGTGCACATAGTAACCCCAGGTTGAAATGTTTTGGAAGAGTGGTGGTGGATTAGTAGCTACTGTAGTTACTTGCACACCTTCCAGCATTCGATCTTCAAAAAATATTTCAGTAGTTCTCAACCATTCAGGATAATACAATGGTGCCTCACTAGACAGTCACCCCGCATGACAGTTTTTTCGGTAGACATTGACTTTTTGCAATCGCTATTGCGATTTGCAAAACAGTGATTCCTATGGGGGAATTTCACTGGACAATGTTTGGTCCCCGCTTTGCAAACCAATTTTCGCTAGACAACATTTTGACAGCTCCCTTCATGCTTGTAAAACAGGTGTTTTCGGGGCCTAAGCTTCGCAAGACAGCTATTTAAACAGCTGATCGGCGGTTTGCAAAGCGGCTTTCCTATGGCCAATCTTGGCTAGACAACGACGACTCTTCCCCATTGGAACGCATTAAACAGGTTTCTATGTATTCCAATGGGGAAATGCTTTTCGCTAGATAATGATTTCGCTAAACAGCGATTTCAATGGAACGGATTATCATCGTCTAGCGAGGCGCCACTGTAGTGTTTTGAAAAGAGGTAAAACAGGCATTTGAAGTTACACTATATACTTAAACAGTTCAACTGCCTGCTGGGTGTGCATCTGTATCCTAGAGGGGCTTGGGGAAGGAATTCAGCAGCGCTGTCCTTCACTTGGCAAGACATAACTTTCCCCGTGCCACTATTTTGGGGGACCACGGTAAGCATGTTGAGTAAATCGTATCTCTTCACAGGGAGGACAAAGTGGGAAGACTACCTGCGACAGGTTTCCAGTGTACCAAAGCTTCACTGTCATTGCTCTGCATTATTTATGTGCTCTCAAGTCTCTGGCATCTATTTTTGCCTTCAATTTACAATACAGATTTCCTATGACTTTGTTAATCAAGAGTTTGTGTCACTTTGTCACTGAATTTCAGTCACTGACCACAGAATTGTTATTCTCTTCCTCCTTTTCCCCCTCTTCTGGGGAGAAGCGAACCATATGGGATCTCCTATTACTTTACTACATCATGTACTGGCCAAAGTCCTGTTGCATAATTGCCCTAAAGGGGAGCTTAATGAATCAGTAGAGATTGGCCTTCTGTAGTTGTAACTTTAGCATAGCAAGTCACATTAGAGGAGGCCTATTTGAATCAATGGAACTTATGGAAGAATTAACAAAATCCCTATGGATTCAAAGGGCCAGCTCTAGTGGGATTTACTGAACTAAGCAATAAGATTTTGGCCATGATGGGCTAGCTTTGGGCCAGTGTTCAGAAGCCACATTCACGCAAACTGCTACAACCACATTCATTTTGAGTGTGTGTTTTAAAGATTGTTACGTACTCTTATCTTACATCAATTGTGCTGAGTTCCAAATTGTCTCCAAGCCCAGTTTAAGGTGCTGGTTCTTGTTTATAAAATCCAAAATAGTCTGGAGCCATTTATTTGCAGTTAGAGTAGGCCTATTTGAATGGAGGAGTTGACTCACCAAACCCCCATTGATTCATTGGGCCTACTCTAGTATGCTGTACTATGCTAAACGACAGGACTTTGGTCTAGAAAAGATAAGAAGTAGAAGACAGAATAAGCAGGAAGTATAAATTACATTTATATCTTGCCTCCCATAAAATGTCTGGGACAGCTTACAATTAGAAACAAAAATCGCACAGTACATGTTGCATTTTAAAGTATAAAAACCATAACAGCAGGAAACAAAACTGAATAAAACTCCAGTAAAATAGCAGTCTTAGTAATATTAAAAATAGCAAAACTCTTCAAGCTCCTGACTGGAGATGAAAAATCTAGGTGAACAGGTTTTGCTGACTCCTGAGAAGAAATACATGGAAGCACCAGGTTACGAGAGAGAGACTTGTTATTCCTGCAAACACGGGAAGCCACTAAATAAGCAGCCCGGACCTATTGGTGGGCAGAGTGGTCATTTAGGACTGCAACCCCCCAAATCTCCAGGAAGCGTAGATCTTTGGGGAATTCTGGGAGTTGTAGTTCAACCCCCATCACCCCCCAATTTGCTCCCCACTAGCTGGAACTGATACCATTGGGGGAGGAGGAGGTTGTCTTTGATTTATCCTTTGTAAGTTGTCCTGGGGCGGGCAACAGGCCAGGTACTATATATTTCAGGCATCGTTATCATTTGTTATTATAGAGTTTGGCTGTTTGTCATCAATTTCATTTGCATTTGTTTTATAGTGTGGTCAAATACTTAAATTCAGCCCCCAAACTCTAGTAGCCACACGCCTAGGGCTTAGGGTGAGGGCCTAAGGGCAAACATTGCAAACACGGGCTTAAAATACAGAAGTTAGCTTTGTGGTTGGAAAAGTACGGTATTGGATCCGAAACAGAGAAATTGCAAAGACTACCCGTGCTGTTTTTTGCCTCCATGTTCACTAGATGGCAGCAAAGCTCCAAGATGCACTTTTCATTGGTTACTCCTGGCTGAGAATCAGCTTTAGTACAGCTGATGTTCTGAACCAAAATGCTCGCCTCTTGTGATGAGAGGAAAGCAGCTTAGCAAGAGAGCTGAAGAAATTCAGTTTCTCGTTTTGTTTTTCCTCCTCGGCGGCTCCTTCTGGGTAGAGAGCAAATGCCTTTGTCTGTGG